TTTTAGTGCCAAAAAACTTCGGTTTCTCGGTTTTGGTGTTCATTGTGGTTTGCTGATTTTCCGCTTTTAGCATTTGGTTTTCGGTTTTCGCGAAAAATATTAACGGGTTTTCGGATTTGATATCCGATGCAGTTTCGGTTTTTCCTATTCGACCTATTTGGGTTCCGATATGAGCGGCAATTACGCGCCTCCGCTGATTTCGAATAGGAGCTAAACGCAAATGTTATCGAGACCAATGCGTGACAAACCAATTGAAATATCGCAAGGATCCCTCCCTTCCCCTCTAAGGTGGGGGGAAGGGAGGGTGCGGCTACACGTAGGGTACGGCTAAGCACAGAACATTGCCAGGGTTTCTTTATCAACGCCATCTCCAAGTTGGTAACCAAGTTACAGGCCACACGTGACTGATTGATTCAACATTCCAATAATATCTCCAAACTTTCAGGTCTTAGTTCGCAAATGGAAATGTTAGAGCTATAGAATTTCCTTAATTTAACTAGGCTCCATTACCAGCTGCTGAGTCCTCGAGAGAGCAGCTGTTAATTTAAGCAGATACTAGAAGATACGAGTGCCAAGTCCATGGCATTCATAAATCCTGTAATGAAATAAGTGTAGTTTACTCTGTATGCTTCACTTGTCACCACTGCATTGGATCAATCAGGGTTTTAATAACTGGGATGTGAAAATGTTTCGGTTTTGATGGAATTTTTTTTCGGTTTTGGATGATTTTTTCTATGGTTTTGCAGTTTCTAATAGGCCCCAATGCCCCCCTCATTAAGTAATAAATTTTAGAAACAAAAAAAGCCAAGAGACAATACAAATACTTTGATTTCTTGGATCAATATCATTATCTGGGCAACTGCCCACCTACCCCTCCCCTAACCCAACATTAACCCTAATTATTATCAATTGACTGTTGATGTGTAAAACGATGTTCTGTTCGTTCTTCAATGAAGTTCAATTTCGCTGGAACCTCAAATCGCTCTTTGAATATGAGCATGCGCACTTATATGCCGCTGTGTTGTATGTGCTCTCTGATTATGCGCACGCGCAGAGACAATAAGAAGGCACGCATGCGTTTTAGGGCCTAGACGACGATTTGTGATAGAACGCAAAAAAAAAATAACGAAGGCCATGTCTAACCTTGGATTCCCTTTGGAAAGCCCAAGTAATTATTCGCACAACACCACACAATCGACCACAAAATACCTGTGTGCGAGTTAATTTAATTTTCGTTCTTTTCTGCGCTAATATGCTTTCCTTTTGTGAGAATGTACACATCACTTACAATGTTTCAATTAACACACCCGCCCAACAAATAACTCTTGCATGCATAACATGCCTATGTTTTAACCACGGTTAACCATAGTTGTGTGATTGTGCTAGGGGAAAAAATTGACACTCTTGTAAGCAGTAACAAATGAAAAAATGAGAAATGGCATTTGTCTAAATCAACAGGGAGAAAAACTTTGAAACACTTGCAGTCAGCAAGTTTATTAGTCTAAGCAACCAAATCATTCACCTCTCTGAGCTGGTTGAAGATAACCTTTGCCATACCAATTAGTTAACTCATAGTCTATGTCCTTCAGAGTAACAAATTGTTCATTGTTAATCATAGCAAGAGCAGATCCGTTCAGCCAAACTGAAGGAGAAATATAAAAGTCGACGTAACGACGTTCTCTCCAGCCTGATGAAACAGGCAGCATACCCTGTACGGCTTCCTCGATATCACTGCTAAATAGTAAATTACTACCTTCTAAATCATCAGGGTCATCGAAAAAGGGAGTTGTGTCAACCTCTATATAAGGTGCCATCAGCATATGGCCCCTTGGCATACCCATATAAGATATCCCTAAATAATAATGGCTGCCCTTTGTCCTTAAAAGTTCTGCAATAGATGAATAGGTCGAAGAATTACCGTAGTCAGCCTTCGTAAGCGCGATATCAACATCACACGTCCAAGGTATAACAGTCTGACTTCTAACTGCACCTAACAGAGTACCATAAATAACCCGATAATCTACACCAAGTTGGGTCAGTGCCCATGTTATATCTTTCAGCATTTGAAATAAGACGGTGCCACAACAAATCGGTGCTGCCACGCTGGACAGCTCTGTTGGCTTGACATAGGGTTTTTCTGGGCATAATTTCCAGTTTGAAACACAAGTTGTCCATTCAATTCGATTGTTTGTAATGATGCGAAGAATATTGAATTTATTTCCAAAAGCGGCGTACTCCGGGACATCGTTAGAACCTTCTAATGTTCCACGATCCGCGCGCTATCTCGCGTGTCCACCTGCAATTTGAAAGTTTCGCTATCTTCAGCTCGCCTTTCGATCGAACAAAAAATTCTAGCAAAGCCATTCTACCAAATCCGTTAAGCAATCCTCCAGAGCGATGAAACAAGCCACTTCTCATCACGAAAGGACCTTGTGCAATGTTACAAACTTGGTACACAATCAGTATGCTGTTCGCTAAAACCGAAAACGAAAATTTTTTTGAAGAGGATCCATTTGTTGAAGTTGTACTTTGGAGATGTGTTTTTAGTACTGGGCCCGTATTCTTTATATGAAGGCTCCATTTCTTTGTAATAAATCGACACCAGGACGATTCCAGTGAATCCTTCATTTGATTATATAGTTTTTCCTGGTGCAACTCCTGATCCGCCCGTTTGTGTTCAATTAACGGCTGTAAACATGTTGGCCGTCGAAATCGACCATCACATCGAGAAATTCATACAGCGTCAAAAGGGAGAGTTTATCGTCTTCGGCCGAATCCTTAAGAGCCTTCTCCTCCGTTTTTGAAAAAGGTAGAACCATCACGTAGCGATTATTTTCACCAGTCACAGAGTTTGAGCTGCTGGTAGTATTCAATACCAAAATTAGAAGATAGCAAACACCCGCGCATACTAGCAAAAACATCAATAGTTTTAGTTTATGTCGCCTCAAATATACCGACGATTTTGCCATATCCTCGCAATTTTTTTTTAAACAAAACTATCCGCTGTTGGGCCGAAGATTGAAAGCGTTCCTCACGAGAACTATACTGAAGAGAGATGCAGAAAAAATTCTAGCTAAGGGAAAACAGCAAAAGTTTACTCAGGTGTCTTCTGCTTTCAGCCTTGTGTAAACTTGTGCGCAAATATTTCAGTAAGTTATATTTATCAGCAATTGCAAGATTATATTGCTAAAGGAATAAGGAGGTAAACTCAGGCTTCATTTTTACCGTTTGCCTGTTGCTACAAACGCTGGCCTGGCTTGGAATCACTCACCAAAGTCGTGGTCATGCCTAGCGTTATGACCAACCTTGTGTCCATAGTACGTTGCGTTGGGACATTGTAATCGAGTATGCGCTCTTCACTTCAACGCCGATTAGTGGTGATAATTTTAGACTTATCCCAGCCAATTGTATGGTTAGTTAGGTATGTGTGCTCCGATAAAGCTGAATTTTCCTTTCACAGTCATTGCAAGGAATGGAATAAATGGCGTCGGTTCGTTGTTCTTTCGTGACAGGATCCTTAGGTTTGGCAAAAATATGCCCTAAAGTCTGAAAAGGTTTTTGAACAACTTTAACGTTGTGGCTATTCAAAATTCTCTTGATGGGTTCCGCAACACTCTGAATGTAAACATTAACCGCAAAACCAGTCGCTGGTTCCCTTTCATCAGGAGTGCTACTAGTTGTAACTGGTTTTTGACAGTTATGGAGGAACGTTTTTGTATAGCTATTCGCTTTTAAGACATTAGAAACATATTTCCTCTCCTCAGCCTTCGAATCGAGTGAAGATGGTAGACAGTCAGCCCTCCTGAGTAAAGTTTTGGCTACAGACTTTTTATGGCAAATAGGGTGGTGGTTATAACGCACGGACCGAGTGAAGCGATGTCCATGCATCACGACAAAGAATCAAATATTTTTCCGGCCCGCCCGACAAAACTCAGTCAATAAGGATTTTATCAATGATACCACTCGTTGAAAAAATTTTGACATTTTGTTTTAACCTTAATAAGATACATGAAAAATTACTCTGTCCTGATTGATTAAGATTATCAAAAATAAGTTATTCACGTAGACTTCTCTAAAGGGGGTAAATTACCATAGAAAATGTAGTACTGCGTCGGTGGGAGAGTATAACAGCAGGGTAATTTAGTATTATCAAATGAGTTGATAACGTAAATTGGCCACCGTAAAGAGTTTAAAACCTAAGCTTTTAAATTCTTCATGAGGACCGATTTACATCATCGACTCAATTGGTAATACTAAATTACCCTGTTATCCGCATAGTAAGTTATTTTCAAATATGAAAATATTCAATGCTAATATATTCAAAATATTCAAAACTAAATTACCCTGTTATCCACATAGTAAGTTATTTTTAAATATGAAAATATTCAATTAAATATCAATATTTCCTAGCCGTAGAATGGTCTAAGCAAAATTTATTGAAAATGACCATCTGTCAAATATTTTTGGAAATCTGGGAAAATGTTTTACCCGTGTAAAGATGATTCGAGACTACAACTACCGGTACTCATGGCATGCGGCTTAAATACTCTGTGAGATTCATAAGAAGTTTAAGAGTTAAATTTTGGATTGTTTCACAGTTCACGGTTAATCCCTATTGAGCAGGTTTTGATGATAGATGCACCAGAACGATACAGACCAATACTGGTTGAGAATAATAGCAACAACACAAGTATCCCTAATGTGCATAACAACAAACCACGACGCAGTCATTTTTTCATGTCGAAAAAAACTGATTGGCACCAATGAATTATAAGTAATGGTAATAGGATTTAGAGGAGGTGATTCAGTAACAATAATGAAACGTGTGAACTTAATCTTTTTTCCCCGTCATAATTCCCGCACCAGCTTGATTAGGACTTCGCAAACACCTCTAAGGGGCCGCCCTAAGTATGGTCTTTGAGGAACGCACGCCTCTTTACTTGCTGTCACACGCTGAACACTCTGTTGCTAGGCTACGCGTAGCAAAACTACAACAACTGTCATGGCTTCCCGGCTTTGTTGTTTCGTCGAGTTGGTCTCAACATTGTGACAGTGTTTGCGCTTAACGATGGTTTATGACGGTTCTAACAAGGGCTTTCCGAAGACTCCTGGAAAAGGAAGTGTTTTAAAGAAGTCACAAAAGTCTAAGTTCGAGAAGCAACGAGAGGAAGAAGTTGTTAGAAATGCTCACGAGCGAGGTTATTTGCGCACCCCGACAGCGAATGATATTTGGGACAGTATCGGCGAAAAGTGCGATCTTAATGACATAAGCTACTTGAATATGAGTAGGATATGCCTTCATACTGTTCAAACCATTGACTGGTGTACGAGGCTACGAATATGCGTCTTGCATTCCAACTACATTTCTTCATTTGATTCTCTAGCAACCTGTAGGGATCTTGTTTTCTTGGATTTGCATAATAATCAGGTGAGCTTTTCATTCCCTGCATGCCGTGAACTTCGAAGCTTCACGTACTCTCGAGTCAATTCCTAACATTTTAGATTTTGAATGTGGCATTGTTTCATTTTAACCATAACATGAGAGAGTTTCAGTTCTCACTTTCACAAACCACAAAGAAGGTTGTCTTATTTATTGTTCATCGTCGCACCGGTAGAGCCTAGGTGGTCGTGAGATATCGGACATCGGAGAATGTTCCGGCTATTGGCATAAATTTCCGACCAAATTTTGATGTCTCGAAGTATTTTTTCTCACTCGGATACAGTGAATATTCAAAAGTCGCCTAAGTTTATTCAGATGATACCTCTCCTATTCATCATTAATGAAAACCCCAAGTATTCCTGAAAGAGGGGGGAAGGAGAAGTTGCATTATTTATTTAGTTTTCCCATTTGATCTTTTACATCATTAAGCATAAACGTTCAAAGTTCTCTAGAGGTACTAGTAACTGGTGTTCACTTTAAAATTATTTGGGTGAATGGCCGCTGTTTGTATTTTTAATTTGAATAATTTGTCGTTAGGTATCCAAATTGATGATAAATAAGTTTATGTTGTTAATAATGAGAACGATCTTAATTCTAGGATAAGATCTTTTAATGGCATATATGAAAGCAAAAATCTGTAATCTGTACTCATCAGATAACAAAACTCCCTGGTCACAAGTTTTGGGCATCGCTCACGGAACTGAAGGTTGTTTTTCTACACAACAACAGCATTTCTAAACTTGATGATGTGAACTACATGGCTGCATCTTCCAGCATTTCTATTCTGACTCTAAATGACACTCCTCTCAGCCTAAAACCAAATTACAGACACCATTTGGTGAACAGTTTGTGGACCTTAAAGTCCCTTGACAATTATGTGATTTCTGACGAAGAAATCATAGAGGATTCATCTTTTGGTGGTCGCTTTGCACCTTTGCGATCAAGTTTTTACATTAACTGTTCTTGTTCTCTAACAAAGGTAAGAAAAACCTTGTACTTAGTATCTGGCCTAGCTCTCAATCAAATCACCAGACCTCAGTTGCATCAAATAAATAAGATAAAATTGTTTTTTCAAAATCAATTGGTGTTAACTCTGTGAAGCTTGAAGGGGCATTTGAAATTATTTATTTCCAGTACAAAACAGAAAACCTCTTGATCAGATTTGATCAAGAGCTTTGAATCCTCACGCAAGACAGATGTTACTTTGTCCCTTGTTCACAATAAATCCGTGACATATTTCTTTAAAGTAAAGCTGTTGTGAATCATTTTGATGTTCAGCATATTTCTATATTGTTTAGCATGGTGATAAAGGTAAAGTCTTTGAGAAATTTAAAACCTGTAATTGTAATGAAGTAGCCTGTATCATACAGTGTGGCATAGTAACCTCTCTTAATAAATTGTCAGGCGTCAAGTTAAGAAGATCAATTTATTTTGGTTCTTTCAGGAGAACACTTATGAGGAAGCACTGAAAGAAGTTCACAGGCTTACTGCTGAAGTGAATGGAATTCAGGCAAAATATTGCCCAGTGTTGATAATACAGAGATACATCCGAGGACACTTGACAAGATTAAGGTTTAAGTTCATTCAGGACATGAGATTGTGGTGAGACTGAAGTAAATTTAAGTTAAAATGTGCCTTGACTCGAACATAGTTGGGTTAATAGTCTTAACCCATTACACCCTAAGATTGCCATCCATATTCTCCATACTACTCTCTTTACATTTCCAAATCCAAAGAGAATTTTTTCAACAATCAATTAGGCTCTTAGGCAATCTTTTCTCTTAACCCCATTACTGCCTGCGTGAGGTACAGAGTATGTCACACAATTTGAATACTGTGTGCCTCCATGACCTACTCAGTACATCGAAAGTTAAGGTAATGGTCATATCTCTTGCACTGGAGATGTTAAATACGCTGGCCTCTAAAACTTAAAACAAATTAAAATTTAAAAAAATTAATTAATACATATGCTTTTATACACTAGGACTTCTCAGTAGATTTGGTAGTTCAGTGGGTAATGAATGATTAAACAGTATTACTGTAAGGAAAAATAAGATGCTGGTCACTCTCAGGGTTTAAAGCCAAATCTGATGTTATCACAACTTTAAAAATGTTCAAGAGGAATTCTTGACTGCCACTATTCTGTGTCAGTAACCCTTGTTCTTGGTGTTTATCGCATCCATTTTTGCTCCAAAGAGGTACCAAATGTTTTTTTTTTTTTTGGACTTCACTTGTTGTTCACCCTTTTAACGCCCAGAAGCGAAAAGTGCTTAACCTCTTACAATATCAAACAAACCGGAAATGATAATTGATAAACTTTCGCGGAAGGGTGTTATCTTGATGTAACTGGTGTACCCGTAACTTTCCCATATTTGAAAGAAAATGAAAGGAGAGACATGTGTGACCATGGACGTTCTCTGTTCCTCTCGTTCGTGGGCCTAAGTAACTAACTAAGCCTGTTCCTCAAGTAGTTATTTTTCGTCTCGTCATCAGGGCTGCAGTCTCCATTCAGCGGTATTACCGTCACTACAAAGGATACACAGCAGGGGGTACCCTACCACCACCAACATCCCCAGCCCCCAGCCGTTCCAACTCGTCCTTGACTCGCTTTGATTACGAGACGTATTTGCATGGAATAAAACCCGGTTATCCGATCAGTCCAAGGGCTTCCGCTGGGAGGATTGCAAGACGCCCTCGTAGTCGTAATGTGTCCATAACCGTGGAACCTATCAGCAGCATCATTGAAGAAGGCGAAAGGAGAACAGAGGGAAGAGTTACAACTTCTCCGGTAGAAGATCTTGAGATTCCAAGAAAAGACAGCTTCCCGGTTAGAATAACTACTAGAATTTCTTTGAACCTTAGGAAGCTGGAAACTAGTACTTCTGACGTAATTAGAGCTAAAAAGGAAGCTGTGACTATTCGTAAGAACCTGGGTCTGATCGATATCAAGTCCAGGAAAAGTATGATTGAAAGTCGTGAGTCGATGCGGATCAAGTTAGCCACACGAAATGACATCCGAGCGAAAAGCAGGGAACTACAGAAGGAGGAACAAAAAATAGAGGATAAAGAGGGAAAGAGGAAAAAGCCAGACCGAATTGGGAAGTACACCACTGTGCGAGTTTTCCTGGGGCGAGTTGTCGACTCGCAGCCGCGCACCGAATGCGAACTGAACGACACTGAGCATGAACCGAAGAAGCAACGATTTCGATTGTCGGGTCTTCGCCCCCCGATTCAAAAAACTGACCCGCTGCGTGAGATGCTAATTTCTAAACAAGAGGCTGGAAAGGATGTTAGAGAGGCTGCAAGGGAAATAGAAAAAAGAGCGGCTGAGGAACCAAAGAAATTTGTTACTAAACGTCAAACGGTCACCACGGATCAAAGACTATTCATCCGCACTCACGGCACGATGGGCTTAGCGTGTTTACGAGCCGTTCAGCATGCCTACAGAGAAAGGGAGCGAGCTGACACTGTCTCTTCAAAAGCCATCACAGTGGCACAGATGAGAGAAGACCGTGAACAAGCTAAAGAACGCGTCAAAATATTTAAACAGGAGTACAAGGAAGCATCGCTTAGGAGGAGAGTTCGAGATGGTGTTAGAACCACCGACGCTCTCAAGGAGCGGCAAGCGAAGGAAGTTATTGAACACGAACGGCTGTCGACAGCACGAGCTGTTACTGCGGAACAACTGAAATCAAGACGGGCGGATTGGGCGTTCATATCAGACTTTAACTGTCAGCACACATCCATTTCCAACGCGTTGCAGCGCCATGACCGCGCCTCACAGAGAGACGAACGTGTGCAAGAAATTGAAGATACCGTGCGCAAGGGGAAAGAAGTCTCACAAGATCAACAAGCTCTGGTACGTCGATACATGGAACACCGGCAGTTGTTACGTCAAGCAGAGACAGCCATGGCACGCGCTGAGTTGGATGCGCATTTGACGCGGGAAGCCAGTCAGCGCAAGGCGGCTGCAAAAGAGCGCGTGGCACAAATAAAGGCGCGAAACCAGGATACACAGGAGTTTTATTCTCCGCCTGTGACGCATGCACCGGCGAGACTTCCTCCTCTGGCCGTTGTATCGCCCGTGCAAATGGACGTCTGGAATGACTTGGAAAAATTTGAATGGACTCCGGCGAGTCACGAACGCTGCTTTTCTGAGCCATACGGTAGAGTGGTGTCTTCAAGAAGACAGCGAATGTATTCATTAGAGCCCACGTACGGCATAGCATGATGCATGGGAACCTAATTTTGATCAAGATGCAGTGTGTGTTTTTATGTAGCTAGCCATAGATTCGATTGTTCTTTTTTATATTATTTATTTAAAAAACACTGCACTCGATCAATAAGAAAGCTGGAGTGCATTATGCGTTGACGATTAAAGAAGTTCTTATTTATTTTAAATCAGAGTGTATAATATAAGTAGCGAAAACGGACTTCAGTCGTTTTTTTTTTGTAGTGATTGATAACATTGTAGATAGTGTGAGATATCAAATAGTTTTACGACTTAAAGTCTATAACACAGTGCAAAGTTAGTTAATATAATATACTGTATAGATAAGATATTTGAAATTGTTTGAAAGTATTTCTTTGGTTGATTAATATTGCATATCTCATGAACCTAGTCGCCGCATTTTTTTTAGTAATGGAAAGTGTTTAACTTTTGGACCATGTAAGCTTCGCGTTTTCTAAAGAGTGCATTTCGGTGAAGTATCGTATGACCAAATACAAAACAATCCCAACGGCCAATCAGATCAAAGGAAAATGTCACAATTAACCAATCAGACAAGCATACTGCCCGAAGCGCGGGATAACGTGGATGGTCTTGCTTTGAATCTGATTGGTTGAAAAGTAGCACGAGTTTTCTAAACCAATCACTTAGAGACACCTGGCTATCTTCGCCACTCAATAGGACTTTGCTACAAATCTTCCTTGACAAATTTGGATTAAACGAGTGCCACTTACTTTTGCGCGCAAAAAACCAGAAAACAGGAAACGCCTACACTGGGGTTCTACCACCAAAGTAGATCCACAAAAAAATGGGAAAAGATCTTTTGAAAATATTTCGAAATTAGTGCTCAAAATGAAGGCAATCAGCAAAGGTTCAACTCTTTTGGGTTACTTCTCTCGTATTAGTACTCCCAAGTCTCTTCAAATTTCGTAGAAACTGTACAGACGTGGCAAAGTTTTCGCGCTAATCCTAAAAAACGCTTTGAAAGGAACGGAAAATGGATTCAAATTCTTCAGTCCAAGAACTATGGTTACGCTCGATGATTATCTAATCTATACGAGAAAACTAAAGGGCATGTCAACACTGTAACAATGGTAGGATACAGGTCAAAATTTACACAGCCTTCCTTACATCCATGGTATGCCCCATCACATCGCTATACGCGTGCGCACATCCGGCGATCGATATTACTAGGGTCCGAGAGTAAAGCAAAATTTTATGTTCATTGTTTATCTTTTTATATTTTTATCCGCCGGAAAAGGGTCTCTTGCGATTCGTTTCACACGTACATTAGTCCTATATTTGACCGAGTCAGGGGAACACAACCTTAAATATTGGGGACCGTCACAAGAATAGGCGAAATCCGCACACGATTGCTAGCACTCTAGCGACAGTCAGCACGTCGTGCAGGCTTGTGTCAGTCTAAATATCTTGCTAAAGGGACAATCAAGAAACAAATTATGAACCTCTATTTAAACTAGAAATTTATTATTAATTAATATGCATGTAATTTGATTACAGTGGATAAAAGTTAGAAGTAACTCATCAAGAATTTTTCTCTCTCGTCCACGTTTGCGACTAGGAATTTTAAACATAATTATTACTGTGGGTATATTCATCGATATACAAAGATACATAACCATTTTCTATATATAAACACTATTTAGTGTGTAACAACAAAGAGTGCTGGCAAGTATTTGATCTTCCAGGCCCTCAAAACCAACCCGTCCAGAATTTTGATAAGTTCCCTAAAACCTATCAAAAAAATTGTAACTACTTCACTAATTCCTTAAATGCTAAGTTAAATTAAATGTCAGTCTTAAAAAATTATGATCATAGACGGTACGCAGCTGCGGTTTATAAACGCGCTACCCTTTTTTGGCGCTGTCTACCAAACACGCCCAACTTGAACCCTACGAGAACCAAAATTAAAAATTTTTAACTTGGTGGACGAAATTACTTCGCTGCAGCCATTAAAGGTGGCCACGGAAAGTGACTTAATATTTACGGAAATAGTATTTCGAGTAGTTTTCAAAGAGGAGCAAATCTCGTGAATTGCTACCTCGAACTCTCTTTGTTATCCATTAGACTGACTTTTTTGATATATAAAACACTTGAATGTCGATGCCCTTGTTATAATCTTGTGTGTTTTCCCCAATGACAAGCAGAAAAGACTCTCTGACCAGATAGCTCTTCAAAGAGTCATTAGGTATTAAACCTTTCGCTACTCCCAGTACTTTTTTAATCAGGTCACACTGGAGGTCCACAGAACACTTGACTTGCATTTAAATTTTATTCCGTCGCACAGCATAAATTTAAAGACCGCCATTTTCCCGGTCTTTATTCGCAGTCACATATTAGTAGTCCCCAAAGGAAATACTCAATTCCACACCAATTAACTTCAAATTAAATTATGTAGGCCTCATGAAAGCAAGACATTTAGGTATTAAATACTATATAAATACAACACTTGTTGTCTGTGCGAACTGACTGTGTAAGGATTGAAAAGCAAACGAATGGCCTATACCAATATAGAATGATACACCATTTAAAACAACTCTGACATTGTTCGGGAACTATTCAAAGCATCCTTGCTTTACCACAGAGAGAGAAGGAGGGGACATTAACTCCATACGCATGAAATAAGGTTTTGTCAGACGGAGAAGTGTAAGGGAAAACAAAGCCCACCAACAACGGTTGCAGAAAAGAGGGATGGGGGGGGGGGGGGTAGGGGCATGTTACAGAGTGGAGAAACTTAAATCTTAATCCCACTACATCAACATTCTACCGGTTCCAAAAAGTCAATTGATTGACATATCTGTTCCCTTGTTAGCTTCAGTCTATTTGAGTGCTAAGTTCAACCTTCATAGGTAATATTATTTGGTGGCATTTCATGTTGTTACAAGTCAGTGTGGATGACTTGCATCTGACCCTTAAACTATAACATCATCTTTTTTATGGGTCCAGCTTTAAGCAACCTTTGAAAATATGTCCACAGACTGACCCAGAAGATTGTATGATAAATATCCTCCACACAAAGCAAAAGCTGGTGCCACATGCTGATGGAATGCAGAATTTATCACCTCTGTTGGGATCTAGTTTGTAAACTTCTAACTGTTTTTTTTTCAGGAATTTACTAGTTCAAGACTTATTTTCCAATGTAATGTCAGCTTTCAGCTTCTGAAACATAGTCTGGCCCCTTAGGAGAAAAAGGGAAAAAAATTACAATTTTCATTCTCAAAGTAAGTCACTAATTGTGTCAGTAACATTATGAGCAAAACCATACTGTCTAAACTCAACTCTCAAATTACAGAGTCCTAGCAATCTGACAATTAAATCAAAATGTGAAACAGCCAATGCAAACAAAGCACTAAATGCTAATAGCTAATCAAATTTAGCTACCTCTTCAAAGCTACCATTCAGCATCAAGAAAATAATAAGGTTAATTAGCTTGGGGTTAACCAAATTCAGCTTGAAAATATGACTTGTGGACCATTTTAGAGAGTTGAGTTTTAGGCAAATGTATTACTTTGGATGCCTGTCCTGACACTAAATGCTTCTCCTCCAAGTTGCTCCCATTTTGTTATTGACAGAATAAGACAAAATAACTGAGAAAAATTACTAATAAAATTTTGTACAGACAACATCAGTGATTGATAAAACCTCAAACATGAATTACATTTCATTGACTGATCAACTGACTTAGTATGAAAACAAACCTCTGCAATTTTTTGATCAAGCATTTTGAAAAACTCCAGTTGAGACTTTGTCATTTGCCTAATGGAGAAAAAAAAGCAGGGATTATAAAATAACATGAAAACTCACACTCACATCAGTGATACTCTACAATGTGCCTAAGTCCTATGGGTCTAGAACCTTTGCTGTTTCTGTCCCAAAACCCTGCAACTCTTTGCCTGATATCATGCATTTATGTGATAATTTTAATACCTTTGAATTTAAGCTTTTTACATAGCCATTTTAATTTTGTTTAAATATTGATTTAGTTTTAATTGAATTCTCAAGTTTTTGAAGCACCTAATGCTGTATAGGTGCTATACAAGTATTGATTATTATTATCATTATCATCATTATTATTTTTATTATTATTATCATTGCTTCTTTTAGATACCACATGGGCAAACAAAGGGAAAAATAAGTTATTTAGAAAACCACCCAAAAGAATCCTTACTTATGACTGACAAGAAAACACTAATTTAATCTAAAATTTTATCAGTAAAATCATGACACAACTAGTGTCAAAACATATAATTCACATACACCGTTATTCAAATCATAGCACCACTAGATAAAGAAAAGCAAATCCAAACAATAACTTGGGCTTGAGCAGCTCTTGGCACAGGCATTGGTTGGTTGCACATCCACTGTTTATAAGTCCAAATGATATTAGAATGTTGGTGAAGGGAGGAAATCTACAGATCCTGAACAAACCCAATAAGCCATTTTCAATGTAATAAAATTAAAACTTGGCTCTAAGGCTTTGGGAATTAAAAAAAGGGATGAATGATTAATTTATTTTGTTTTAATTCCCCCTAGTCTGGGTACCATGTTAGAATTTTTAATATATAAAAAATGGCCTATTGGTCACAGAGGACCAAGAGTGACAACCCGAAAAGATATTCAAGCCACATGTTACGCAAAGTACATGAATCAAAGCTGGGCCATAGACCACTATCATAATGCTCCATTTCACTAAAATAATAGTATTTGAGCAGAGCTGATCTAAATACAAGGATATATGGAAAAAAAACCAGAGTGACTCTTGATGCAACCTAAAATTTTCCTTGTGTTCCACAAAGGAATGTAAGACATTTGGGGAGGAGAATCTTGCAGGCTGTCAGAATTCACTTACAGCTTTTTTCCATACACCCTCACAACTAATCAATTTGATCTACAAGTCTTACACTCTGACTTGACTGATTGGAACAGACTTTGGGGCAGCACAGTGGTTGTCATTTGTCCTAAAAATACATCAAAATGTTTCAGGTCAAGGTCGTTTTAAGATTATTTTCAGAACATCTTAGTTACCCCTTGTATCATAACTAATATGTACAAAAAGAGATCTTATGTAAACTTAATCAACATCCCCTGTCAGCAAGATGGTTTAAATAAATATAGTTCAATACTGCATCACTATTTGCAAGTTAACACCAAGGACAATTTATGAATCTCATACACCTGACAATAAATTACACAGCAAAAAGCAAAAATTGTCTATCTTGAGTGTTGACTCCCTTTTTTTAGAAAAAAAAACTGTTTACATTTGAGAATATTTTTCATCTGAGAGGAAAATGTGAGGAAGGTTTCTAACTGCCCTACCTTATTGGGGTAGGTTTTCTTCTAGGGATTACATCCTGATTCTGAAAATAAATTAATGAATTGATTGAGATTGGTAAAAACGGCTAATCATATAAATGTATGGCAACTATAACTAAAATCTTTTTCCACCCTTATAACAGCTTAATAGTACTTTTCTATATCAACAAACTACCCAATTTAATTAATCACTCCATCTGTGGTCAATTCAAACTATTAAAAATGGTCAACTTTCCCTTGCATGAAATACAACTTTCAACAAAATGCCATGAGCCAGCTATTTACCAAAGGTCTAACCCAAACTGCAGTTTTCCCCAAGTTGAGGGCCTCAGGTATTCTCATTAGAGGGTTGATTCAATCATATAAATGTCTCTCTACTATTAGCTTTTGGCCCTCCTAACACTGTTAACAAAATAAATGTTCAGATAACAGGTTAGTCTAAATTGAATATGGATAGAACAAGGTTTTGTTAGACATTGGCTAAACTTTGTTTAAATGACTGGCCCAACAAGTCTGTTACCTTATCCTTGATTAATGAGGACCTGTCATTTTTGGGTTCTGGAATATCAGGCTCTTTGACTGAGGTGATACTATTAGATGAATCTTTTCTGCTGTTTTTTAGTGCACTGCTTTCAAGAGAGTGTCTTGGAACATCTGTAATGAATACCAACAAACAATATGTGAAACTGAATCACCGGTACAATGGTTCAGTAAAAAATGTGTTGATGTCTTTTACACAACAGTATCTAAACCTGGATGGCAGTCTCCACTGTAAATTTACACAATTCATCTGCAATTGAATTTCCAATTGAAAACCTGGTTTATATTAATTTTTAATATAATTATCCTCTGGCAAACACTGAACACCCTTGAGATGAAGTAAAAAGAACCTGTAATTAAAGCTGTCTTTGCTGTCAAAAAAGACACTGTATTAAACATTCCTACAATTCTCACCAGGTGTATGTACTGTGCAACCATTCTCTTTTGCTGAGTGGGAACTGGAGCTGACTTCTGGACTTGTGGTCATATGCTTACCAGCAGAACATCCCATAATATTAGCCCACAAGGGGCGAGGCTTTCGCCAGGACCACCCAATGGTGAAACAGATGAATTCTTGGTTCTTGCAAAATCAACAATCCTAAAAAAAACAATACTTTGTTAATGCTGTGGAAATAAAAGGATATGCATTTCAACCTGTATTAAGCAATCATCCATGCAGAATGGTAGGGTGACTGCTTAATACATTACAGGTTACCAGCTTAACACCAGTTCCAAAGAAAAGGAGTCAAACACGAAAAATGCCATTTTAGGCCATACTTAATAGATCAATCAATGTCCAGTTTATTCAAAACCTTGCTCGAAATTGCATTGACTGCTCATAATAATCAGCACCAACAAAATGATGGTGCGATGTAAAAACTGAGCAATAAAGTAGAATTACTTTATGTGATAAACTGTAATCAAATTTTTGAACAATCTAGGTCATTAACTAGAAAATAACTTGCACGATGTTCATGCGCAATTATTGCCCTAAGAAGAAAGATAATCTGTTATATATTAAAGACAATTGACCTCCAAGTTGGAAGGTAAATGTAACAACGATTTGACTTGAGAGATTATTCTGACTTAGTTCTCTTTGCATGGAACCACTTCATGTGACTGATCAAACCAGGTGACAAAAGAGAATACAAAAAAAGCCGTCAGGATGCATGACCACCTACAGGACAGGCGACCACCATTACCAAAAGTTATGAGGGGTTAATTGATTAAAACAAGATTCACACAATTTGAAGTAATGGGATTTCCTTTTAGGTGCTGATCTGCTTAGGGCAGCTTAAAAAAACATGATTGTGTAACAAACACATCTGTAAAGTGTCTCTTTGAAATGGCCACTTAGAGAAATTGTTACCAAATATAGCAAGTATTCACAGGAGTTCTAGGTGGTCTTTTTTTTCTTTTAAGTAGTTCTTTGAAGAGCATTCCACTTATAGGAATGTCCATTAGAATAGCTGACACTGCAGTTGGAAAGGGAAGGTGACTTGTAAAATCAACAAATGATCACTGATTGTGGCCAAGTTGAAAATAATGAATATCTTAACTGGATAAGATGACCCATCTGAGCCCACATCAACCCAATACCTAATTACTTAAGAATTAAAAGTATAGGCCACAAATAGATCACCTAAAAAAAATCACTGTAGGAAGTAACAAAAGTCAAAGAAAATCGCAGCACTTAAAGCTAAATCAGCTGACTCTGGATCTTTCCCACATTTAGTCCTGTGCTGAAATGATATCAAATGAAAAAATGAACTATGCCAAAAATGAAGAAAGCAATCTTGCTAAAAGCTGTCATAATTATGAACTGTTCACTGAAGTGAAGGTGGCTTCAGTGGCATATATCAACCTAGCCACAAAGTGGTGAGGTAAAGATCCACTGCAACCCACCAACACTGAGGTAAATTGTTCACACAAAAAAAGTGAGATAATATAGCACAAAAAGATGATTTTAACCCATTTATTCCTACAACAATAATAACATTTCCACAAAAATCCCACGTGTGTTGCTCAGAGATGAATAGAAAAAGATATTTGGAATTTGGGTAGCCAATCAAGGTGTGCCTTCAACAATAACCACTTTTTTAGTACATACTTAAGTACTGCATGCACTACTTTCTTCATCACAAAAATGATGGCTAAGGCATTTCTGCCTCTTCTGGTAACATAAAGCAAAGTGCACCAAATGGGTGGGAGTACCTGTGGTTTTTCTGCAAAACTTCATGGGAATGATACCTATTGATAATACAATCAGTCAAGTTTTCAATTAAAGCACTAATTTGGCAACCAAATTGAGATACATTCAATTCTGGTAAAGGGTATAATATAAAATTAATGCAGATAAGCACTCTGTCATACTTTTAATCATATGACTGCTTTCAACATCATGTGCAGAAATTCTAGCGATCTGAACTTATCAAATTTCATCTTTTAATTTTTTGGTATTAAATTTTTATGACCTTAAGTTATGCACTAATGATTAAAAAATATTTATAAAGTATATTGTCCATATAAATATCCTTTAATGCCCTTTATAACACTTTGCGGGGGACTTTGGCCTAACCACATTAAGCAGTAGTAACCAATCTTTCAAAGGAAACTTTGCAGGTGCTCGCAATTTTGGAATTTTTGGAACCAAAGCCAGACCACAACAGTGGGAAGTACATTTCCAACTCTGTGCGAGAGGTGCATGGGTTCTTTAACATTCCCTACTAACTTTTAAAGAAAAGATGTGAAAGACAGGACCTACATGTATGGTTTACTGTCCTTATCCCAGAAGACTAGAACATCAAACCTTTTAAAGATGTCATACCAAAGGCTGCACATTTTTCTCACTTATTTTAAGATCCTGAGTGTTGGCAGGTCTACGGCTCCAACCCTTGAGCTTTTATACAGCAATCCCACGCTCTACAACCTAAGCTAACCAAGCTTGAATAAATAGCAATGCCCCCAAGTCATATGTGACACCTGTCCTGCATGATATAAGATCAGCGTCATGCATGTGAACAGAATAAGAAAAATGGACATTCTGTACTTTTTTTGAACCAGCTCCAATTTACTACATGTTTAATTTTTCTTACACCCATTGAGTGTCTTTACCTCCTAAATTGGCTATAACATTCTCAACAATCTTGCTCAAAACAAGATGCTTGGTAACAAAGACAAGAACAGCTAAAAATGTTTCAGTATCGGTAGAAGATTGGATCACGATCAATGATGTCACAATACCACTCAAAAACTCAGACTGTCAAAAATTGTATATTTCTTGATGCTAATTCAATGTTTCCATGGTAATAAAACAAACAAAAGGTTTCAATGGTTTAATCTTGACAGCTGTCGTGACAATTGCTCGCGCTCACTTCACCAAACTATAATTAAAAAGAAATGTTCTGCTTGTTGATCCTGTGTTTGCAGTTAAACTTCAGGAGGTGTCAGATTCAAATGTTATCTCGCTAAGTACTGATTCCCTTAAGCAGCTTAGAGAAAATGCATGGTGAAACAGGATGAGAATTTTCAGTTTGGTTTGCTAAGTAAGTAGATTTGAGGGGAAGTTAACAACAATGCACTCAAAAATGAAATGCAAATTCAATTGGATGTATAACTTTTCCTTTTCAGAGGGATTAAGCTATAGTGGGAAATTCTCTTATATTTCAAAACTGCACCACTAAAGTTTTTTCGCTGAGTAGGCGTATCGTTTATCCTCTTCACTCTAATTTTAATCTAAAGACTGAGGTAACTCAGTTGTGCTTAGAATTTTAAATACAAAGATATTCTTCGAATTTCAAAGAGTTTACTCACTAATAAATCCGTAGATTACTAGTGGTAAGTTCTACACTAGAGATTCATCGATAAGATAAAACCAGGTTTTCAATAAGTGGAGAAAATGTGGTGAAACGTTGATGACAGTTCTAGTTCTTGAACGTTATGAAAACATAAAAAGTGCTTCAAAAACAAAATGGAGTGCACAATGCCTCGAGAGAGGAAAGTGGGTGTGCATTATGTAAAACAAACTCCTGCTACACATTCCCTAGAAGATGAAAATTTTCGAACTCGAAAACGTAATGTCACACTTGTTCACTTTTCATAATCAATTACGGGTCCACAAACGTAACTTGACAAGTTTCGAACATCGCTCACTTTTGTTCATGAATTTCTGGCTACAAAGAAATCTATTCATGCCCACAGGGCGACTTCGCCAAACCTCGTGTCGAAAATTAAATTCTAGAGTATGAAAAACCAAGGGCTGAGAAAATAAGTTGCCCAACTATAATAGCATTAACCCAACATAGAAAAACAGCAGCTGTGCAGCTGTACACAGTGATCCAATCGAGTAAATGTTTCGTACATGATTCTCAATGATATGGTGAAGAAAAAATAGACTCAGTCAGCGCAAAGCGACAAAAGCGTTTCCCTAGCGAGATTTCGAATTCAAACTACCAATGCTCAGCAGTCTCTGATAATCTTTTCGCAAATAACGTCATAACAAAGCAAGCTCATACTGCTCTGTCGGATTAAGGACTATGCAAATGAGGAACAGTTCTCTTGCTTCAATAATACTCGCTTACAATTCCGCACAATTCACTTCAGTGTGTTAACGTTCTAGTTCATTAAGTTCAGCAGTGAATGCGGCATATCTTCGACAAAACAGAAAGAGTAATTCGGCCAACGGGACATCCATCGTGTACCGCTTGGAATCATTAAGAAATTACACAGCAGAAAAACGCACTCCATCGCAGATTCACTTAACCGATTAAAACGAATCTATTCGCCTCAAACAGTATTTTCCTAACTAACGAAACGACTGATATACCAGTCACCAGAGCAAAATAGCAGGCAACTTACCTCAGTGGCGAATCGGTATCTATTTAAAGACAATCATTTGTGGGACACCCAAGTTTAAAGTAGTATAAACAGGCGATTTGTGCATCGCTTCATGTATTATGGAGATTGAGAACGTCGCGCCAGCAGCGAGCTAGAAGCAATTAATCACATCGCCGGACACTGAAAAATAAAATTCACATCGACTTACTTCCACACGTCATGAGCCCACAAACCCACAGAGGTGCCAGGCTAGCCCGCAAACGTTCTAAGTATCGACAAGAAAACTTAATCCGTAAAACCGCGATTTAGCATGCAAAGAACGACCATAGCAGTCACTTTACTTCCCACCGATACTTATATCGTGGGTGACAGACCTCACGAACTTTATCAGCCCGAGGAAATAGTAAAAAATTCTACTTCACTCGATAAATTTCAACAAATTAAAAGCAAAACGATCGTACCTTTTGTTCTTGCACAATTTGGACGGTCGTAAAACACTACGAATAGAACACTGCCGGCCTGTTTGAGCGTGTGTTTTCGTGATACTCGCACGAAGTTTGTGACGTTGCCAGGGTGAATGACTAAACGGAAGAAGGGTGACGGGGTATAACCCTGTGTCATCACCAGTAGGGTGGGAAGTTGGCCGAAAAAAAACAGAACAAAAAAAAACTCCCCCGCTCAAACTCTCCAGGTGATCGACATCGCCATTTCATTTGAATTCAAACTTTTATGAAGAGAGCTACTACGCTTAGGGAGTAAAAACGGGCATAGGAACAGAAATTAAAGGAAAAAATTTCACAAAAAATACGGGTCAAGGGAATGGAGAAGCATAAAAATTGAACGTCTACCTTCATCATTTTCGCATTTTTCTATTTAATTTAAGGAAGAAAAACAGATGTTGTTCTTTAAAAAAAAACTGTAATCTTAAAACAAATTATAGCTAATGGCTTATTTTTCATACCTTTTCACAACGCTTAAGAGGTGCTTTTGTCTTTTTCTCCATTCTTATGTAATCGATGTTCAAAAACGACTGCAATTTTTTTACTGGGTAACTGACAACTAAAACAAGGACACGGCATACAAGTTAAGTCTCTTTGTTGTTAACGCAGGTAAGTAACGGCTTCTAGACACCAAAATGGCATGTTACGATACAGCAATTCGGTAAAACCGAACTATATGTCAAAGTTTGAATATGAATTATCAAACGGATATAATCTCATCTTTTTGAGGACACATACTTCCTGTACTGCATTATAATATTCATTGTATACAGAAAATAAACATTGTAATATAGAAACAGAAAACAGAATATCTTAAGGACAGTTCCTATTTCTAAGTGTGTCGAAATCTTGAGTATACGGTATTAACAAGCCCGATCTTGACAAAGGAACGGCCTATTCTTTTAATTATTATTGTTATCTTTATTATCATTTCATGAAGTTGAGGTAAAAGAAAAAAAAAACATTTAAAAATATCCAGCCATGTTGACCAAACAGGTCTAACGAATGGTCATAATTTGTCACCCGGGGGAGGGGAAGTGAAGGATATTGGGGGATCAGAGGGTTTTCTGTGGGAACAGGAGGGGGATCAGCCGTTGCCAATAAGGTAAACAGGGGGGAATATGGACAATTCACCGCCAAAATGACGCTGGGATCATAAGAATATCACAGAGCCTGAACAAGGATCCGGTAAAATTTCTCGTGACACAACCAAAATCCCCCATCCCACCCTCCCTCTGGGGGTGGGATTGGACTAGTCTCCTAGCCAATAAAATTTAAACCTGGGAAATCAGTATCAAAAGGGGAATTTTGAAGGAAAACATCATTCCAACAACTGATGCTATCAATCAGTCATCAATGTCCGGGGTGAAGTAGCTAACAAAACAAACCAACATAATAACCACAAATATCGGAAAGAACAAAACCACGATCATTAGATAACAAAAAATCAGCAGGATCGCTTCAAAAGGACTTTTTCCCTGCCGGCAAAACCAGCTGGAACATTTCCTCACATATTCGCTCTCTTCCATCGTGAGACTGAGGTCGTGTTCGCTGTCATCAGGTGCCAAAGTAACGATACTCGTTGCATCTGTTTCGTTGGTGACTACCTCAGTCACGTGATATGTCTGCTGAGGACTCGTCCTCCCGTCGACGAGGATTGAATCGTTATCTACAGGAACACCAACACCAGTAGGAATCCCAAGTGTCAAATGGCCACCTCGTTCCAGGCTGTTTGATATTGAAGCGTTGCACACGGAAACTTTCAAATTCACAATGGTGTTGGAAGTAAGAGGAGATTTCAAATTCACCTCTTGAAAACCAACTTCATCTTCTTCGTGCTCGTGAAGAGGTTGTGTGGAGCGACTGAAATTCCTGCGCGATGAAGAATTGACGAGTGACATCAGTGTGGCTGTCTTCATAATAAATCATGTGCTATTGATCAAGCATGAAGTCAACTGAGATGGCTATATATTGGCAAAAAGAAAAAAAAAGATGGGCCCATCTTTCCCGCTCGGCTAGCCAACCAAAGCTAGCACAGGATTCTCTTCATATTGCCCACGGGTACTGCCACCGATATGAAAAATAACGAGAATTGATGAATATTACCTACATATCTACGAGTAACCTGGCGAACGTATCATTTGAAATTTTTGATTGAGTGTTTACACCTCAAAGTGAAATGACTTAAAAAAGATCATGCTGAAAAGATTGATCGTCACAAAAACCTCACCCATCATTTCATACCTAGGCAAAGATTCTTCACCTACTTCTGCTGGACCCGCCGTCGATTTCCCAGGAAAGATCCTGTTTTAAACATAAAAGGCATAAATCACATGCAGTTTCCTAATTTTTCTCATACCCAATTCACACCAAAGCTTAAACATCACAATTTGGTCGCCCGCGACTTTACCGCGCTTCAAGCAGCTTGTTTTTACATCGAGATCTCGTTGGCTCTTTGAGAAATTCTCTAATGCTCTGATTGGTTGAGATAATAAATTTGCTTTTTACAACACTTAGTTGGAACGTGTAAAGTAGGAGGGGGGGAAGTCGGGAAAAAAAAAGACAAAAAAAAACAACACAACAAACAAACAAGTAAAATAACCAGATGATACTCTTGTGACTGGTTTTTGTCAAAGTTCTTATTTTTTTTTTTTCATTCACTTCTACCTTTCCTGTTAGGACTTTCACTTGATTTTATTCTGCGAAGTTCATGTTTTGCTCTTTTCACAGACAGGCGATTCCTATTTAGGTATATCAAACAGGTCATTGCAGTAATTTGCGTGTTGTTTTTCAAACTTCGGAACTGAAAGGCTCGTCGGCATCGAATGAGTATGTCGAACCTCTTCATTCTAATTCTAAAACAATGGTTATGTTTTTGTTCAAGGTTATATAACCTTAACGTGAATTATTATATTCATTCTTGATCAGTTTAAAGTCAGTTCATCACTTTGACTACGAAAGCCGTTACCATTTAATTCTGTTAAAACTAAATTTTTCAAACTGGTTAAATTTATGATGGCAAATGCTGTCAAAACCCACCAACGAAATTAAACGTTCGACTGTAATCCAAAACTTTATTTCGCTTGTTCAGAACTGTCTTGAAGTGGTGTCACACAGAAAATGGCCTTAAATATTAGGCAATCCGCTTCATTATGAAGCAACTCTCGCTATTGGCCTAAGGATGGCGTTCGGTAATTTCATAGTAAACAGTTACTCAAGATTACTATCAAGTTACCCGTACATGCTGAGCTTGATGCTTTCTTGAGCTTTGCCAGCAAGTCTTGGTTGTGTAACTTCATCGGCTGGCTGAACTGTTCCACGAAAGAGAATCTTTAGTGGAGGTGATGACATGATATTGGAGTAAAAAACTCGCAAGTAAACATCCACTTCCTCAGAGATTAAGTGATCGTTCCCTTTTATTTGCGCCGAACATCAATTAGCATTTCGACTTCTTGTCGACATTTGGTACACAGTAGGTCCGACAAAGGTTGTCATGACAAATGATTGAAGTAAATATCTAGATGTCCTCAAATCTGCCAGACAATTGGTCGATAGGCATTATGGTGTAGGATTCCATAGCAACAGCACTGGCCAATCACAAACCGTGGCATCTCCATAAAAGAAACGCAATCTCTATCGTTGGGTGTGGCACATTCATAACAAAAATTACACATAGCTTACGTCTCTGCGATCTATTACCCTGCTCCTGGTCAGCTCGTCAGTTGAGGACATTTTAATTCATGAAAAAAATGCTCTTTTGTATAAATTGAAGAAACACTTGGTACTGGGTATATTTATTTCAATGGCCATTATAATACGATAAACTTGAAAATCCGACATTTAAATATTTGAGAAAAAGAATACAAATAGTCATTCCCATGCGTTCTTTTTAAACGTCATTTTGTAGAAATTAGGCAGCTTTGCTTTTATTTGCGTCTTGTGATCGCTTTCCATTCCAGTCGTTTTCAGTTACTTCGGGCAAAGGATCTCAAACCGCCTTAGCTCTTCCCCATTTCCGTAGTGTAAAGCGACCGAACATGTGCTTCTCTATCTATGTATATATATAGAAGCACATATTATCTCATTTGGACATACACACACAGTCCTGTTTAACTGCAACATTTTTTCCGGGCAAAACTGTGCGCTGAATCGAGACCATTACAAATGGTACAGGTGGACACAACATTTTGTTCGTGAATTACATAACATTTCCTGTGAAGTTTTCACTGCTCTACCTTAATCTGATTCAAAACCACAATTCTTAAAACAATAATGATTTCCTCTGCTTCTGTTGCGAGACATACTTTGTGCTTAGTTCGATACAGGTTAGCTGCAGTTGGTACAGCGGGTTTGCTTGATCCGAATCAGCAACCCAAGATGTTTTTATTGTTTGAACCTCCAACTGAAATGAGAAGGTAAGCTGTCTGACTAGTGCAGTAAAGCTTCATAGTTAATTTTTGCCAATGATGCACGTAATCCATAAACTCAATTATTCACAGAATCATTAGGCATTGACAGATTTTAACGTTCTTTTATTAACAAAATAACCATTATTCTTTTTTCCAAATGGATGAAAATGAAGAAGAATTTACGACCACGTTAGCTGTCAAAATAGGTTTGGCTGTCGCCGTATTCCTTCTCACCACCGGCCGTGTTTTACAAGCCTTCGATTCATGTAAGGAATGTTTGATTATGCTAAACAACAGGGCACTGATAGGGGACAGTGGTATCGACACAGTAGAGACAGCATTGAATATCATCACCGCACACGCCTACCAAGTACAAGCAGCTCAGTGGTACGAAAACATGGGAAAGCTGTTTCATATCCTAAACGAATATGACAAGTACCAAAAATACCTGGAGAAAGCACTTGCAATAAGGAAAGAAACTGGTGACAAAAGAGGAGAAGCATTAGGTGACGGAAAATTAGGTTTCCTCCTCCTTTCTTTAGGCAAGTATCACTAAACTGAGAAACATCTCCAGTGGGAATCTGCTCTACTCATGGACTCTGGAGACAGAAAAGTAGAATCGAAGCAACACTCAAAGGAAACTTAGGTGCGGTATTACAATCGCTTGGTTAAT